AACTCAAAAAAAACCACGCAAGTCTAAAACTTCTTAAATTCAAGCAGTTTTTCAGAAAACTGCCAACATTTCTGCATCCATGGGTCACTTTCGAAAAAGGCCAAATATTTCTCTTTAAAATGATGTACAAATGAGCGTTCTTGCTCATTTTTCCTCCGAGATATGAGCAAAAACGGGACGGAAAACATGAAATTTTGGCATAATCTTGAACCTAAGTGTTTGACATTCAAATTTCGCTTTCTGGGTTAAATCTACTCGAATTTCCTCACTCACGTTGTTACGACTGAATCGACTTTTCAATTCTCTATCCAACGATGCCAAAACGGGACGGAAAACACGAAATTTTGCAATAATCTTACGCCACGTATTTTTTCTACATAACCCCCCCTTGACTTTAAAGCTGTATCCGCCCCTGATTAAGCCTCTTATTAAATCGTGATCCACATCTTATGTCCAAATCTCCCTGATCATTTCGGTGCAGCAAGGCAGCTTCAATGCTTTCTTCCATCTTAGCCACTTTTTGTTTAATAACAATACCAACTTAAAATAGCTTTGAAACTTTTCCAAACAAAACGGCATAGGAAAACAATAAAGTGAGGTTTATTTTATTAAGAGTGCAACAAACGCGGTATCAAAAACTAAAAAACGCACTTAACGTTGCCTGAACACCTTATTTTTTTTTAACGCTGCGCATGATCACATTAGCGTTTAGCATTTAATGCCTACGTAATTTTAAGAGGCCTAAAAACTCTCTACAATTGCTCGAAATTACCGTACATGTACGGTAATTACCACCCTGAGTTGAATAGGTAGGCCCGGGACGAAACGCATGGTGCTTCAACGCCCACCCACAAAATATCTATATGGGGTATGTTCTGTGAAAGCGCCACACTTTGTCGCTAGACATACGTTAACAACACTGACACAAAAACGTAAAACGTTACCCACATCTACAGCAAAATACTTGATTCTAGTAAAACAAAAAATGAAACAAATCGCATAATACCTAACAAAAAAAAATTCTTGATGGAAATGTTAAGAAATATTTAAGTTAAATGTACAGGGTGTTCCAACGATAGAGTAAACTAAGTGTACGCTTAACTAGTCTTGTTTGTTTCAAAATTATCATCGTTGTATTATAAAGGTACTCAACGCGCATATTTCAAAAATATTACAATTATACAGAGGGTCCGAAAAGTTGGAGTGCCAAAACAACTTCTTTATAATGGAACACTCTATATTTTATTTTAAAATTTTTATCTAATTTTAATTACTTTTTACAAAATAAAAAAATATGAACTAAAATTGGATAGTTTTTTAATTAGTTGACTTCAACCCTTTTCCTTTCGGTGACACAATTGTGAAATTATTCCTATATTATTAATCCTATATTAATTTTTGGTTTTCTAAATATTTATATTGGATACTACAGGGTGGTCATAATAATAATTAAGGTATATTTTTGGTGTTTATTTATTCAGGAGAAGAAAACCTTTCCCTTTGGCTAAATACTTCCTATACCTATCGGTAAGAATTTGAAAGAAAATTTTTCTCGCACGATTCTTCTAAATGGCTGCATTATATTGGTACTACCTACTTATAACATGGTTTTTCGAAGTTTCTCAAGAACTATTTCTGAGCCACAGAATTCGTTTTGTTATCGTTGGATAGAGAATTGAGAATTCGATTTAGTCATAACATGAGTGAGGAAACTCGAGTAGTTGTGACCCAGAAAGCGTAATTTCAAAATCAGACACTTTGGTGCAAGATTATGCCAACATTTCATGTTTTCCCTCCCGTTTTTGCTCATTTTTCGGAAGCAAAATGCACAAGATCGCATATTTCTACATCATCCCAGAGAGAAATAAAATGCCTTTTTAGGAAGTGAACCATCGATCAGGAAATGTCGGCAGTTTTTCAAAAAAGTCTTGATTTCAAGAACTTCTAGATTTGGTGTCTTTTTTTTAGTTGCAAAATCGACTCAATCTGTCTATCAAAATCTGATCAGATAGGAAAGCATTAGTAGCTTTAATGAAGAATATTTTATGGAGTTTTTAAATTTTTACAGATCAGTCAAATTCGCAACTACAGTAAAGTCCGCTTATACTGAACCCGGTTATAGTGAACTTTCGGTTAAAACGAACTTTTCTCCTTTAATTGCAACGTCGTCCATAAAGGCCAACGCATTTTTTTACTGGTTATAACGAAACCGTTTATAACGAACTTCCGGATATAACGATCACTTTTTAGGTTAGCT